TATTATTTATTATACATGTTCTACATGCCAGACATTATTGTCTTTAATCATAATAGGAGTCCTGTGGGCTAAGTTTTATTATCATCATTTTATAGATGAAAAACTGAAGACTGAGAGAAATAAAGTAACTTGAGTATACATCTAACAGATAGCTCTGCCAGGATTGTAACCTAAGATTTTTCATTTCCAAAACATGTGTCTGTTATAGTATACAATCACTCTAAAAAAAAATAAGTATTCTGTATTTTCATCATACTTGCTATTAATAGTTTGCATATTCCTATATTGTCAACTATAGTGAATTTTAGAAAATATATCTTTTTTTTTTATTCAAAGGATGATTTGAAAGAATAAGGATCTGAACATCTGGTAAATGGGTGAATCACAAGATAGAAGCTAAGGCAGAAATAGTTGAGTCAACATTGGGCACAGAATATGTGTCTTCTCTCTATATCTATTTTTATTTTTCTTTCTTTCTTTTTTTAATGAGCACAAATATCTTTATTTTTATTTATTTGTTTGTTTGTTTATTTATTTTTATGTGGTGCTGAGGATTGAACCCAGTGCCTCATACATGCCAGGCAAGTGCTCTACCACTGAGCCACCACTCCAGCCTTCTGTCTCTCTCTTTTATTCTGAATTTTAAAGAAACTACTGATACTTTCTTTGTTTTTTTTTCTTTTTTTCTTTTTTTGAGCAAGAAAGAGATTTATCTTCCTAAGAAGTCCACTAGTTGGAGTCTTGGAAAGAAGGACAATAGGCCTCTAGGTGCTACTGTGTATTGTGAGAAACTGATGGTAATGTTGTAAGAAATTCACTTTGAACAATAGAAAAGAAATCAACTCCTGTTAAGAATACTGAGAAAAGGTATTGCAAATGCTGGAATTGGAAGAGTCCATTAACAACCTTTGAATAAGTATATTATGTATTATAAATGCTAGACTCAAAGGGAGAAATTATCTGAAGAAAAGGGAGGATTTTGTTGGGGATGGAGTGGTAGAGAGAATAATTTTTGAAATCCTAAGGAAAAGAAGGCAGCAATGGGAGGGACTGATGTCAAAGGAAAGCTCCTTATATTGGCTCATTATGTTGACTTTATACTGAAGGTAGGCAAATGGCTAACTCATGGAGACACAGAGATAAATAAACCTTGTGAGGTTCTACATGTTTTAAAATTTTTTAGTTGTTTTAGTTTTAAATATGTTTTTTAGTTTTTTTAGTTGATGGACCTTTGTTTCTATGCGGTGCTGAGGATGGAATACAATGCCTCACATGTGCTAGGCAAGTACTCTACCAGGAGCTACAACCCTAGCCCCTATTATATTCTGGTAGTAGAGGAAAAAAACAAAGGCACACCATTTCAACATTAGATGACAAATGCTGTGACACACCATAGATGTAAAATTTAGCTCTCTTTTTAATCAGCCTGGGTCAGGGTTTTCATAATAGTCTCATAAATTTTAGCAAGTTTCCGAGTGGAAATAAGGGATATTGTAAGGATAGAGAAAATTCCTACTCAAAAATTTCCAAAGGAAAAAAGAATGCATTCTGTAAGGACTACAGTGTTATATATTTAAACTCAAATTTGGCCTTAACTCTTGACATCTTCATTTAGAGTTTTGCCAGTTTGGCGCAGGAAAAGCTGATTCTAATAGAGGAGGAGAAATTTCTCATGGAACTTAATCAAGCTGAATAATGAGAAAATACTGGAAGACAGTGAGAAGAAATCATGGAAATTATTGTCACTACTTTTATAATACCTTCCACCACTAATTTGTTTTTGTAAAGTATTTTATTAATCTATTTTTTGTTTCATACTAGCTGTAGGTCTTAACATGGAGGTTATGTTTAACTTCACAATTAGCTGTGTGAAAAGAAATGATATGATTGTAAATTCTTTGGCTGATAGTAGGTGCCCAGCTTTGTCAGATGGTTATGCCTAGAATGGAAATAAAACTAATACACATAAATTGTGTTCCGAAAGAGGTCAAAATATTTAAAAAGGCCAAAGAATACAGAGGAGAGGCATACATTAAGAAAATTTCATGTACATTATAAATATCTACAAAAGATGAGGAGCTAGAAAACAGGACAGAGAAGTAGAAGAGGGAATGGATAGTGGGGTAGAGATGAAGAGAAAGTACAAATGATCAAGAAAAGTTGTAGTTGAAGGGAAGGAAGGAGAGAGCAGAAAGGAAAGAGGCTTATAATTATTCCAGGATTGAGTTCTCCACTTTATGAGGTTCTTTCTGTCTCATTCTGTAAGAAGCATGAATTCTGGAGACAAAATGATTTGGCTTTATTCATAGTTTTGTATCTTCTTATATGATCTTAAGTAGTTCAGTTAACCATTTTGAGTTTCTCTTTCTTGTCAGTAAGAGGGAGATTATAATATTGCAGGTTTTGAGCAGTAGGAAAAACATGTTCAATAAGCTTGACACCATCCGAAGCACTTAAAAATGGTAGCTACTTTACTTACTGGTATTTTTCATTTAGTCCTAATCATGTGGTACACTTTTCTGTTGGGAGCTGGCGACCGCACCCTGAAAATGGCGCTGGTTTTCTGCTTCTGCTTCTTTAGCAGTTAGAGTTGTTAGAGGTAAACAACTCCTTGTAAGGCTGTGGGGCTGGGCTCTGGCCTGCTTCCGCTGCGCTGTACCTATTAGACTTTTCCACGTGGTGCTAGTTCATTGGCGGGGCTGGGTACTTAAGCTAGGGCAGACCGACCGCTCGCGCTTTTTCCTGTTTTCTCATCATGCTTCAAGGGTCCTGAATAAACTGCTGAAAGAAAAATCCTGTGTCGTTTTTCCCTTGCTGGCGAGGGGTCGTGACACTTTTCCATAGTTAACTATATGGATATTATTCTTACTTTTATCGTTTATTAACCAGTGCATACTGCATTGTGTTGCCATAACAAGCAAGTTTAAAATCTCTGGTGCATAAATGATACGGTGTGTCTTTATATAGTGAGGTCTCTGCTCTAATTCATTTTTGTTCCAGGACCCAGACTAATGGAGACTCCATTTGGAAGACCCATGGATACCGTGACAGCAGAAAACTTTACATCAACTCTTAAACATTTCCACAAGAAGTGACACACATCACATTCCCTGGGCCCAAGCAAGATTTATGATTACACCCCATTTTTTGGTGGCAGTGAAATTCAGTTCTGTCATATGCTTAGAAAGAAGATATTGTGAGAACTGTCAAAAGCATGACTGAATCACCTGCCTCACCAAAAGGATTTCCTCATTGATAAAATGGAGAACTAGAGGCACATATCTTATAAGTGTTGTTATGAACATATAATGGTTAATGCACAGAACCTTCAGGACAGTGTGTAGCATATGGAGCTGATGAAATCATTGTGAGATGGTAGGATCTAATGCTTTTGGAAACCTTTGTAAGACCTGAATCATGGTTTGTCCTGTGTTCCCGCCCCATCAGCACTTTGTTCAGGGTGCTGCACAATCTATTTACTCAATAAATATTTGTTGAATTGAATTGAATAGTGTTCCAGCAGCATGGCTGGGACCACCCACCAGCTGGCGGACCAAGCACTTGTAGGTTTATCAGTTCCATTTCCCCTGCCAAACACCAATGCACTTCACTAAGCATCCCTCAGCTGCGATTCCCCATTTTGGCAACCTAATTGACCTTAATGTAAATTTTTCCAGCTACATAAAGCATGTTGTGAAGTGCACCACAGCAGTCGCAGTTGACTGCCAGCTGCCATCACACTATGTGCATGCAATTTATTCCTCTACAAACCCTCCGAACATAACAAATAACAATGCTTTTCTTAGAAACCTCCTAACTGTCAGCGCACAGGATACCAGTGGCACATTTTAATAACTGCTGCAAAAGGAGAAAAAAAAAAGATGCCAAGTTAAAAAAAAAGGAAAAAGAAAAAAAAAGAGTGTGCCTTATGGTATAAAAGCATTCTTTGATGTGATCCTAGCAGAATCTCCAACTACTTAAAGTCTAATTGGATTCTGCTCCTTTGCATTACCTGCACAATTAAATACAAAGCCATCTAGGGGGTGGCAGCATTAGGCAAAAGGCTACTAAAAGGACACTGACCACCCTACTTAATTTTTCTGCATATTAGTTTATACATCCATTAAATGAGGAAAATAGCATTAGCAAAATCTCTTTCCAAAAACTGGTGAAAGGAGCAAAATAAGAAATATAAGAATTATCTGGGCCGGGCATTATGGCACACACCTATAAAGGCTCATGAGGCTGAGGCAGGAGGATCACAAGTTCAAATCCAGGCTCAGCAACTTAGTGAGGCTCTAAGCAACTCAGTGAGATCCTGTGTCTAAATAAAATGCAAAATAGGGCTGGGGATGGGGCTCAGTGGTTGAATGCCCCTGAGTTTAATCCCTGGTACAAAA